AGCTCACCGCAACCTCCACCTCCTGGGTTCAGGCAATTCTCCTGCCTCAGCCTCCTGAGTAGCTGGGATTACAGGCACGCGTCACCATGCCCAGCTAATTTTTTGTATTTTTAGTAGAGACAGGGTTTCACCTTGTTGACCAGGATAGTCTCGATCTCTTGACCTCGTGATCCACCCTCCTCAGCCTCCCAAAGTGCTGGGATTACAGGCTTGAACCACCGCACCCGGCCCAAGAAAAACATTTTTAAAGCTCTATTCCATATGCAAAAGAAGAAACTGCAGAAAATAAGAAAGGGTAGTTGACATGAATACAGAAAGATAATACAGTATAAAAAGATTATAGGAAAACAAACACAACACTTTAAACAGTAAGTATAACGGGTTTAAAATTTCTTATTGAAAATCAAAGACTCAGATTTGGTTAAGAAAACACAATTCAATCCTATGCTTTTTATAAGTTTATTTAAAGTCAACAGACCTATTTTAAAAACCAGGCTGTGCCATATAGTAGCTGTGTGATTTAGGCATGTCTCTGAACATCTTTGTAGCTCAGTCTTTTTAGCTATACATAAAAATAAAATGCCTACTTCATATGGTCATTGAAGGATTAAATGAGATCACATAAATCTCAGAGCCTCCTCTTGCACAAGTGTCAATGTATTTTCATATTCAAAGTAGCAGGGTCCAAGATTCAAAAGCAATTTAATCTTTCTTTGCACCTTTTGGAAAACATAAAGGAAACTTAATGCATAACTCAAAAACATGACTTCCTAAAATTTCTGTTTTTGCATAATCCATAGATTCTCTAGAGTCCCTCACTAGAGGACAGTTTTGCCAAGCTCTCCTCAATATTGCTGTCTGTACTATCTCTTGTTTTCGTGTTTCCTCCCTACTTTATTCCAGAACTATCTATTCTCTACTCTCTCTACCTACTTTCTTGATTCTGGGTTTATAAATTGTAAGAACCTGGCCACAAATTCAGGTTTCTTCTTACAAGGGAGATAAAGAAAGAAGTTGCATTGACTAAGAGGCAGAGAACAAGAAGGAAGGAAGTAAAGTTGGAATTATGCTTTAATAAATTTTATCTCCATAACATATATAAAGTGCCTTACATATAATAAATACTTAATAAATAGCATTTCCGTCCTCAGTGTTTCACAAATGCTTCAAAAATGCTTAGTCTTTGTTTTTGACATATCTTCCATAAATAAAAATATTTATTTAATCCTTGAACACTAAATTTCCCAACACTCCCTTCCCAACTCTACCAAATTAACAATCTGAAAATGGGCACTGATTCAAAGGAAAGAAACTGCTGTTTTAAAGCAAATCTGTGATTCAGATACATTTAAAATCCATATTATAATATGAATAATCACCTCCTAAAGTCTCTATTCTATGCCTGATTTTTTTCACAGCATTTTCTTAAAGCAAGGCACACCTGCACCCCTACCATCCCCAAGGGGTTCAGAGTGAAACTAGACCCCACAAAAGACCCCCTTCGTTGTTTCAACCTTTCTAAAAGTATGATTTTTTTCTCCTGACATTTTAGAAGTGTTATTAAAACTCACTGGATTCTTGGGATTTGGAGAGGGAAGAAAAGAAACAACTGAAACCTTGATTTTCCTCCCCTGGATATCATGTTTGTTTTGACATGTGGGTGTGGTGTGCTTTTCTGGCAATGACTGCACAAATTCAACCCTGGGTGTCTACAGGACACAGTACAGCCATGTCTAGGTTGCTTAGACAAGGAGTATTGCTTTTCTTTTTGCAGGTCATTCACACACAGCTGTTAGACTCAGGTGTCATAGCACCAAGTTGCTTTGCTCTTTCATTAAGATCTTAGGCTACACGCTTATGTGTCTGAAAACAAAAAGCAGGGAGAGAGACTAGTTAAAAGTTTAATGTGGTGGATATGGATTTGAGCTGTCTTGGGTCTGTAGGAGGGTACAGGTTGCAAGTTTGCAGACTTTTGGATATGTTTCTAATTGAGTGTCAGGATGCCATCATTTCTGCCCCCTTTTTTTTTACTCTGAAGTTCAAGGGTACATGTGAAGTATGAACAGGTTTGTTACCTAGGTAAACATGAATCATAGGGGTTTGTTGTACTGATTATTTCATCACCCAGGTATTAAGCCTAGTATCCATTAGCTATTTTTCCTGATCCTCTTCCTCCTCCCACCCTCTATCCTGTGACAGGCCCCAGTGTCTGTTGTTCATCTCTATGTGTCCATATGTTCTCATTATTTAGCTCTCATTTATAAGTGAGAACATGCAGTATCTGGCTTTCTGTTCCTGCATTAGTTTGCTAAGGATAATGGCCTCTAACTCCATCCATGTCCCTGCAAAGGACATGGCTTTTTTGTTTGTTTGTTTGTTTGGGGTTTTTTTGCTGCATAGTATAGAAAGAGAGGAACTCAAATGATTCCTGTTTTCAGATGACATGATCCTATATCTAGAAAACTCCATCATCTCAGCCCAAAAGCTTAAGCTGATAAGCAACTTCAGCAAAGTTTCAGGATACAAAATCATTGTGCAAAAATTGCTAGCATTCCTATACACCACCAACAGTTAAGCTAAGAGCCAAATCATGAACAAACTCCCATTCACAATCACCACAAAAAGAATAAAATATCTAGGAATACAACTAGCAAAGGAAGTAAAAGATCTCCACAAGGAGAACTATAAACCACTGCTCAAAGAAATCAGAGATGACACAAACAAATGGAAAAACATTCCATGCTCATGAATAGGAAGAATCAATATTGTTGAAATAGCCATACTGCCCAAAGCAATTTATAAATTCAGTGCTATCCCTGTTAAACTGCCATTGACATTCTTTACAGAACTAGAGAAAACTATTCTAAAATTCATACGGAACAAAAAAAGAGCCCAAATAGACAAGGCAATTCTAAGCAAAAGGAACAAAACTGTAGGCACCGCACGACTGGACTTCAAACTATACTACAGGGTTACAGTGACCAAATAAGCCTGGTACTGGTACAAGAATAGGCACAGACCAATGAAACGATAAAGAATCCAGAAATAAGACAACATACCTACAACCATCTGATCTGCAACAAACATGGCAAAAACAAGCAATAAGGAAAGGATTCTCTAACCATATGCAGAAGATTGAAACTGGACCCCTATCTTACACCAAATACAAAAATTAACTCAAGATGGATTAAAGACTTAAAAGACCCAAACTATAAAAACCCTGGAAGACAACCTAGGCAATACTATTCAGGACATAGGCACAGGCAAAAATTTCATGATGATGATGCCAAAAGCAATTGCAGCAGAAGAAAAAATTTAAAAATGGGATCTAATTAAACTAAAGAGATCTGCACAGCAAGAGAAACTATCATCATAGTAAACAGACAACCTGCAGAATGGGAAAATTTTTGCAAACTATGCATCTGACAAAGGTCTAATATCCATCAGCTATAAGGAACTTAAATGAATTTACAAGTAAAAAGCCATTAAAAAGTCTGCCACCTCTTTTTTTTTTCTTTCTGCAGTTCTCTCTGCTTGATATTTTAAGGGAAGATTTTCTTAGACAGCTTTGAAAGTTTGAGGTTGCATCTCTGTCATCTTGGCACTCAGTAGATGAGTGACGTGTTTTTATTACAGAATTTCTTCTGTTGAAATGAGTTCTGATCTTGTCTCTCCCTCATTCACCATTCTTCCTGTCATGAATTTTTCTGGTATGGCCATATAGAATAAATTTGTTGGAGTTCATGTATTTATGATATTATTTCACACCTTCATATCTTTGTATGTGCTGTTTCCTCTGCCTACAATTTATTTTCTTCGTTTCATTTATCTCTTGCCTCCCTGTCCTTCAAAACTCAACTTCAGTGTCACCTCTTCCCAGAAATCTTCCTTGACTCTCCCACTGTAGTCTCATAGTAGCTTGTACATAGCACTTTCATATTTAAAACCAGTATTTGCTGAGCATTTACTGAGTGAGCATGTAACCTCTATTCATTCACTTAATGACAATCTTATGTGGGGGTTTTATTTTGTTTTGATTTTTTTTGTTTTTTTTAGACAGAGTCTCGCTCTGTTGCCAGGCTGGAGTGCAATGGCATGATCTCAGCTCACTACAAACTCCGCCTCCTGGGTTCAAGTGATTCTCCTGCTTCAGCCTCCCAAGTAGCTGGACTACAAGCACATGCCACCATGCCCAGCTAATTTTTCCTATTTTTAGTAGATATGAGGTTTCACCATGTTAGCCAGGCTGGTCTTGATCTCCTGACCTCATGATCTGCCTTGCCTCAGCCTCCCAAAGTGCTAGGATGGCAGGTGTGAGCCCCTGCACCTGGCCAACAGTCTTACATTTTAAGAACTATCACTTATAATCATTTTATAGACAAGAGAGGGAAGTGTAGAAATATTAAGGAACTTGTAAACTTGCTTATGGGTGGTAAGGTCCCAATTCAAGTCCAGATCCATCTGACTTCAAATCCTGTTCTCTTCAGCACTAGCTTATTCTACCTTTTCTCATAACAAAAGTATATTTGCTGATATACTTTAATTATGGATAAACTCTGCTATTTTTTTTTCCATTAGTTTGAAAGTTCCTTCAGGTCAGAACTAAAATCTTACTCATATTTGTAACGTCAGTGCATACTAGCCAAGTCCCTGGCATAGATCAAATTCTCAAGAAAAAGCTGTTGCATATATGAGAGAGGGGGTCTCTATTCTGTTGCTTTCATGTTCAGCTTACATCAGAATGCCTCTTTTCTCAGTGAAATTGAAACTCAGCTCAGCTTCACTAGGTCAGACCATTCCACATGCTAGTGAGGAAAAGCAGAAGAAATCCAAGGCAACTGGTATATTGGCAGCTCTGAGTGGGGTGAGCAGGAAAAACAATGTGTAAGTGCACAGGGAAGCCAAGCTCCAGGGATGAATTAGTTTGTGCAGCTGGGAGTCAGTGGCAGCCAGCCCACCAATTTCACATAAGAAGCAATCATCAATAGAGCAACATACACCATGAGCAGAAGAAAGATACCCTGTGAGACCAAAAGCTCATGGAAGAAAATCCAAGAAAGTCCAAATAAAGGACAAAATGGCATAGATCAGAGGAAAGGTAGCACCTACCTCAGTACTGGTGTTCCATGACTACAGGATGTGTCCAAGCATCTATTTGCAAAAATCCAAATCACCTACAGTTAGACCTTGGCAGTGACTCCCAGAGCAACAAGAAACAGGATTTGTTTAGAAAAACTGTTCTGAGTAAAGAAAGGGGCTGCACTCAGAGAAGATCTATACAGAGATGCACCTGAGTGATTTTGGGCCCCCAGATCACTTACTTAAATAAATGAAGCGGTGAATAAAAGCAGTTATGTGACATAATTAAAAAGATAGGATGTTGTATTAGCAGTCCCACTGGAAGTAACAAGCTGGGGATTTGCATGAGGAAAATATGATTGTAAGACCTATGACGACAAAAAGGGAGGATTAAATATTTGTCAGGAATTTTGAATGTGGCCATAAAGGGGGTCATGTGTTGTGTGCATAGCTGGAGAAATCATACAAATGTAACAGCGAAAAGAGGAGTTACATAGTAACTCAGACAAAAAGATGGCACCACAAAGGGATTCAGGTAGACAAAAGGGTGAGAATAGACAAATATGTATTTCAGGTTTTATATGGAGAAGAAAATATAAAATTGTTAGGAATAAACATGAAATGCATCAAGAAAACAGTGGAGAAAATTAGAAAGCGATTTCTTTTTTTGATGTCAACACCCTGGAGATCAAAATCTTGGCTTCCAAAGAATCAATTTTAGGACAAGAGGTAAGGCAGCAGAAAAATTTCAGGAAAATCCGTAAAAGGAAAAAAGTGAAAATAATAAAAACAATAGCTCTCTGCAGGAAACTCAGATTCCAAGTCTACAGAAGGACACAGTAACACAGTCTGAGACAGCAAAAAGAAGAGGGCCCCCTTAGGGTGGGTACAGGGAGATGAAATAAAACAAGAATACCACAAGTATGGAAAAAATGCACCTTCAAGTTTGCACATGGGGTTTAAATAATGGGAGCACACGGAACCCTAAAAGGTAGAGCACTGAGTAAAAAGAAAAGCTCCTATTTTAGAGTGAGAAAAAAAATGTCAAAAATGAATACTGAGTTGGGGACTCTTTATACAAATCAATGTAGTAGTACAGATATATGAAGTTTAAGGTATTTAATGAAAGTTTGAAAATTATGTCACCTCTGGTAACTGATATATAACTTTGAATTGTGCAGAAAGAGCTAGTATAAATAAAATTATCCTAAAAGATATGAGAGAAAAATCACAGAAGGAAATGGCATTTGTCCTACAGAACAATACTTTTCATCTCGGCTACAGGTTAGACTCCCATGGGAGCATCTTCAACCATACCAATGTCGAATTCCCTGCTTCAGATATTCTGAATGAATTTGTTTAGTGTGGGGTCCCAGCATCAGTATTTTCTAACAGCCCTTCCCTCCAGGGGAATCCAATATGTAGCTAGGTCTCAAACCACTACTATGCTCCCACAGGTCACTTAGTGGTAAGAAGGAATTATATCTGTATTAGTTGGAAAACATGAAAAATAACTGTCTGAAATTAAAAATGTAGGATCATTCTGTAAGAAAATCTAATTGAAAAGTGCTTATTTATACAAACCTGTTTACCATGTAAAACGGCATATCAAACATAGACGTGAATTAGAAGGGATATTTAATTTACGTATCAATAAGAATAAAAGTAAAATTTAAAGTTTAAAAACATCTGTAAAAACTGAGAACTTTGGTGAGGCACATATGAAGACTCAGCAAAGTCAGAATATCAGGAAATTTAAGATGAATACACAAAGAGAAGGAAACCCATTCTCTCTAAATAAAGGATCTATGTCTTTGTTTCCTATCTAGCGCAGGGCTCGGCATGAAGTTGGAATCTATAAATGTTTGCTGAATAAAGGAAGTATGCACCAGAACAAGCATGATATAGGAAATCAGGGAGGCAGTGCAATGAAAAAATAAGAGCTGGAGTCATGAGAGCTGGAGTCAAAACTGAACTGGGAGTCAGCTGGACCCTACCCGCCAGAGTGGCACCATGTGACTGGACAAACCCATACATCTCCAAGGCTCACTGTTGGGTTACACGAACTCAAATATCATCTAGCTCTAGAAGCTTAGGACCATATCATAGCCTTAAAAACAAATAAACTTTCAAGTGGAAAAGAGAAGTCAAAAGCCTTAAATAGCAAAATGGAGTGCACCCAATGGCCTTAAAGGAATTCAAAGATGACAGACTGAAGGAAGGGAAATGAAAGCCAAAACACCAAAAATGGGAGTAAATAACAGGAATTTATTGGCACACTAAAATGGAAGCTCCCTGAAGGCAGAGACTTGGTATGTCTTGCTTCCCACTGTATCCCCGGTACTTAGATGGGAGATACAGTGCCTGACTCATGGTAGATGGTGACTTAACTGAAAAGATGTGAAATGCCAGATTTTTACATAGGCTCAAACCAGCAACTGGTCTGGAAAGCATTGTGGGGGAGATAGCCAAGAGAAAAAGATGTCCAAAAAGTATACACTACTCACAAGCCATCACCATGAAGTATCTATATAATTTACCTCTTACTAGGAGATATCCATCAACTTCTGTCATTGTCACACCATCTGCAATAATTACACCAGGGGATTTTACATGTGAAATAGTAGCTTGAAGCTATGTGTGATGACAGAGAATTAATTCAGATATTGAGAAGACTTTAAAGCAGTACAACTCCTGCCAAGTTACTTTTTTTTTCTTCAGCCAAATGCATGTGCTTTTCCATGGGAGAAGGCCAACAAGACTTGATCTGAATCCATATTGGTATTGTGGGAACATTCCCTAGGAAGCACCTCAATTGCAGTCAAAGCCTTGCCCATGGTTACCATGCTTCCAAGTTCTAGCTCAGTATTTTTTCAACAAGCAAATTTGGTCCTCCAATTTATAACTCACAACTATCCAAAGAGTAGTAATTCTAACAAGGAGTCTGCACTGACTTACCTTGAGTTTGAAGACTATGTGGACTTTAAATTAAGTTGCACTGTCTCCCTTCATCACCCTCAAGCCAAAGGCTTTGATGAAAGAATGAAGCAAACCAAAGAGAGGCCTGTATGCATTGTCATAGGAGGCTGGTCAGTAAGTTGTGCCAAGTTTTCCAGTGCCTGACTTGGCATTCCTTTGATCCAGCATCCAACACTCTTGTATTGAACAGTTGTATTGGGCACTGTGCTAGAGCTGGGAGCTAAAAAGATTAATGTCAAGGCATTCCCTGGAGGGTTTCATGATCTGGTGGAAGGAGACAAACAGGTTTACATCTAATCAGGAAAAGAAAAGAAATGAAACTGACATTTGTTAAATAGCTGCTCAAGGCAAGGAGCAAGGTTTGTGCTTTATGTATGATCTGCTCTCCTCTGTGTAATCTTATAATCTCTCATACAAATAAGAACACAAGCTCAGAGTGAGTATTTACTCACTCAAAGTCTCAAACCTGAACACAGAAGAGTAGGTTGGATACCCAAATTTGACCTTCTTAAAAATCCACCCTCTTGCCTTTCTACCATACTAAAATGCAATTTCTTTAAAAAAATGACAATAGGTGACAAATCCTATACCAGTAACTTGAACAAAGGGCTGTGGGAACACAAAGCGTGCAGTTAAACTGTGACTAGGAGAGGAAGAGGGTCAGAGAAGGCATCACCGAGGATGTGACATTTGAGCTGGGCCACGTTAAACCATTGGAGTCAGTCCTGCTGGATTACTAATGTGTTGATTTTTTGACTACACCTCTTGGGCACTTACCAGAGCCACAAAGTGAAGGAAGCAATAATTCTTCTCTGGCCACCAAAACTGCTGAAAGGGAGTCACCTGCTATTTCTACACACACTAGTTTTGCACAGTTTCTCAAATAAGGTTGCAGGGTAGAGGATGTTAGCTTAGGACACAGCAGGTGTGTGGAGTAGAGAGGGGTGCCTGCCATACCTGATGGGAGGAGGAAATGCTGTGGTCCTCTGGAGGCCCTTTCATTTGCATTGCTGGGATTAGAGATACCCTGATTAGACAAAATGGAAGAGCTCCAAATAAAATCTGCAAAAGCGTATGAAGCAATTTTTGTCTGAGGGTTGTTTATAAAAGAAAGATCTCAAGCATGCCTCTAAAAAAAAAATAAAGAGTTTCTGTTTACCTACTGATGGTAAATCAACAGGGTTGCACAGCAGCCAAATGGGTCTTTGAATGTGCTGCTTCATTTTTCCCATTAAGTCCAAGGAGAGTCTCAGAATGGAAAAAATAAGGCACTAAACTTCAGTGAAGCAAAATTTGGAAAAATGTGTGTGATCCATTGAACAAAAGACACTGGTTTGGAAATAAATGGAAAGTGCTGTAGAGTAAATTATGGAAAATTTAGTTACTAGGTTCTCTGAAAATGAAGGTAAATAATGGAATGCCTACATAAAGTACACAGCGTCACCAAATGGAGAGGGAAAGGAAAATAAGCGAAAACGTTTTTAAAGCAATATGATGTTTCTCTATAAAATACAGTTAGAGGATATTAAAGCAATAGTTGAGTAACTGAAAGCCAAACGGGTGAATCGAGATGACTGACCAGTGTCCTTGCTGATCTCCCAACATCCCAGCATGTCCCTTTGCCCCAACTGTGACCAGATGTCAGTTGCTCACAAACTAGAGATTTAATATTTCCCAGTCTAGTGGTGTGAAGTAGTATGTCATGCTAGTTTTCATTGACATTTTCTTCCTCATCACTAATGAGATTGAATATTTTTTCATTTGTTTATTGGCTATGCATATTTCCTTTCCTATGAAATGCCTATTCATGACTTTTGCCCATTTTCTCGTAAATTCCTAGGAGTTCTTTATATATTGTAGATAATAAATCTTGGCAGTTTTCTTGCAAATATTTCCCGTCAAAATGTGACTTCTCTTTTCTATTTATGATGTACTTTAAGGAACAGAAGTTTT